TCTGGCCAGCAACAGAAAGGAGAAAATCTTGGGAAAATAACTGGATTAAAAATCTAACGTGTCACCATAATCCAATCTAAAGGTTGCTAATGAATTCTATGAGACAAACACTTAAAATTTAGATCTTCAAGGTCTTAATCAGGACAAAGATAATTGTATAAACTGGATTTAAAGACGAGAATTTTGTTGAACAGTTACGGCACGACACAAATGTGTTCCCTTACCTGATCCACTCTAAGTACTGTAACAGCTGCATCAGTGGCGAACTTGATAGCCCAGTGCTTTACAAGATACAAGTCTAAGATTCCTGCTTTTACTGCGTCTTTCACGGCAGCTCCACCACCCTAAGAAGAACAACATCCAAAGGTATGTCAGATCATACTTGTCAGTGTCACCACGTTAGATTAGAACTTATCCCCTCTCGGAAATGGCCTATTTCATCCCTGATTTTTCGAACCTCTTGATAATTCGGTCTAATTAGCTTTTCCCAAAAAGGCGTTTGAAAATCATGATTCCACTGTAAATAACAGGTGAAAACAAAAAAACCCAGGATTCTACGCTGACACATTTACAAACGATGACCCAAAAATGAGGAACAATTTAACAGACCAAATACGGTCGGCAATAAAACAACAAAAACTTTATCAAACAACTGGAATCAGGATTGGTAAATATATATATTTTTAGCTATATAATTTTTAGCTTGTGCACTATATTAAGCATACCGTAAACTGCCGCTTATAAGCCCCCCCCCCGGTTATAGGCCCACCCAAAAAAATACATCCGATTATAAGCCCATCCGGATATAAGCCCCAGTTACAGTTTTGATTTTGTTTTGTAATTTAACTGAATTCGATTTATTGCTGCCTTTTTGAGGCCTCAATTGTAAGAGTAATAAATTTAAATCATATGTCGATCAACAGTGCTGTTGCTCATTTCGAAACGTTTTGTTTCGTCCGCTTATAAGCCCATCCGGATATAAGCCCCTCCCCCCCGTTTATAAGCCCACCCAAAACAACTTACGAACTTGTATAAGCCCAGGGCTTATAAGCGGCAGTTTACAGCATATTTCCGGTTGTAAGCCCCCTCGGATATAAGCTCCCCCGTTTATAAGCCCACCCAAAACCCCTCACGAACTTGTATAAGCCCAGGGATTATAAGCGGCAGTTTACGGTATTCTTATCTGGATTTCTTCTCTTTTTTAAATCGAATTGAAAATTTTTAGTATTATCTAACATTTATTTTATTTTTGTGTCGACTGCCTAAGATTTTCAAGCTTTGTTCTTTTTTTCTGCTCAGTACCTCCGTGTTGAAATCCACTTTTACATTACGTTATTTAGTACTTCAACTATACCTCGTTATCAAAGCCAGCATTTTTGTCCCCACCCTGGTGGGCAGCTTTGAGTTTAGATATCAACTCTGTGGGCTTTACGCCAGCATTTTCCGCGAGGGTCCTGGGAATAACTTCCAAGGATTCGGCAAATTTGTCGATGGCATATTGTTCAAGGTCTGCACAAGTCTGACGGAAAACAGGACGAACAATTAACGGCTAGTACGCAATACAAGTTCACACGGTCAAGACTCTCCAAAGCCACCATCCAAACTGGTCGCTTAGGAGAGGGGGCGCACGTCACCTGCTTGTAGGAGTCTAAAGGACGGGCGCCGGGTAGGGAGGAGAATGGGGAGAGGGGAGTTTTTACCTTTCGTGTTTCCCCCCTCCCCCTCCCCCGTTTTTGCACTTTTGAGCTTTTTTCACACATGGAGGTTCAACTGTAGTTGGGAAACCAATAGCAGGCTTTTAAAACCTATCTTTGTAACAAAGGAAAAGCGTGTGCAGTACAGTTACACGTTTCACAGATATAATTACCAAGCCTTAACCACTTTGAATTCAAAAGCAGAGTGACACTGATACATATTTTGTAAAGACCTGCAACTCAACATACCTCTCCAAAGCTGGATATCTGCTTAGCCAGTTCAATTTCCGTGGCGCCAGCTCCTGGTACAAAGCGATCAGATCATCGCGGGTAAGCGCTTTAAACGTGTTCACTCCATCATCAAGAGCTCGCTCAATATTGTCCATGATATTTTCGGTGAAACCCCGGATTACAACAGTAGATACAGCCGTCCCTCGCGCTCTAAGACACAAGATTACAGGAGATGAAATGAGTATGACTGGTGGCGAGACTTCAGATGCTCCTTTTGCGTGGGTGTGAATATATAAATTGCGGTCCTTTCGCCCGAAAGTCAATTCTCCGGACGGCGTTCCGCCGGACGTAAGTCGATTCGCCCGATGAGATACAAAACTCAAAGACAGGGTGAATATACTTATCGGAGATGTTATTTTAGTTAAACTTGGATTCCATTTGTACATCCACTGTATTTTCTCGCTTATTTCTTTCCTCAGGTTTAAAGACGACAAATACACATCGGGCGAATCGAAATAAACCGAGGGCGAATCGACCATTCCCCGTTCCTCGTTACTAACATCAGCATCATGATTTAAGGCCAATAGGACAGATTCATTCTCTTACACTTTATTATCTCTTGATTGCAAGAATAATCTACTTCACTATACCTACAAGTAAACCTAAAATTTCTTGTTGCTTTTTGCAAATAAATGAATCAATCAATAAATGAGTACCGTTATTAAGTAGTTCAGTACCTTGTTTAAAAATAGTAACCGAAGAGTCACCAATTCCTGACACCTTGATTTCATCACAGTGGTCTATCTCCTCTGAAGTGGGAGTTGTCTGGAATGATGGGAGACAAAAGTGTTCAGTAACCAATGATTTTTAGTGCTGTCTTCCCCCTATTTTTCAGACTAAACTCAGTTAAACAAAATGATGAATGCTGCTTGTTGCATAGTGATTCCTCTTACTGGGATTTTACTTCATGACTATTACTACTACGGTGGTGGTAACTTCACACCAGGGCTCTCTCTTCTACCCATTCCCTAAAGCGAGAAGGACAGGACGACGAGGAAGTCTGGGAACAATGTCTCATAATATCAAACGTCCTTCTAGGAAAGATAGCTGCACATTCCCATAAAAGGTATCAGAATTTCATTTTTTAAGCGTTGTTCAGTTTCACTGGAACCCCCTACAAGAAACCAGTTTCATATAAAAATAATAACGTGAATTGAAAGTAACGGGTGAGCAAGCTGCAAAAGATTGGAGCAGCACTCTTCTAAGGTGGGGTACTTGCCCGAAGACTACTGTTATTCTCATGTAACATGGTAGGCTCGGTTTCCGCTGCTCTTCTGACTGCAGTCTGGTCTTGTCCCTCCTTTAGGAGAGGAGCTCAGAGTTATTTTCAGATCAGTGGCTGATAGTCGAGCTAGCAAAATGGTGGGGGAATAAGAAAGCTATTAAGCAAACTTACAAATTTTGGAAGTATTGTAGCCCCAACTGATCGACAGAGTCTTCTGAAATCAAACTTTGAATTTAACCTGCAAACAATGATATTTGTTTTGCAGCAATGTTGCAAAACAAGTTGCACGTTGTTTGTTGCCCGTTTTTCAGTCGTAACTTAAGAAAAAAAAGAGACTGCTCGTAGTCTATTGCATAGTTGAACCTTGAATTTTATTGGTTCAATTTAAAAAAAAAAACGTGAGAATCTTTTGTTTTCAAAAAACGTTGTGATGGGATAATCTTCTTTCAAGTGCCCCGGTTCGAGTTGTCGCACTGTAAGACTTAGCATTGAATGCGCATCTGTGAATACGAAAACGAAGGTAGAAACATGCCTTATTTCCACTAAAATCAAACCCAGCGACATCGTTATTATGGACAGTTTTTCACGTCCCTAGCTCTTACATCTTCTCTAAATTCATCCCGCTTAATAAGGACACCACGTGACATGATGATTTCGACATTGCTGACCCTAGCAGTACGCAGGATGCATGTCATACATGAACCTTGTATATGGCCCAACTCGCCACGAGTCCTTCAGTCCCTCATAGCTCAGTGCTTAGAGCATCCAACCAGTGTATGGGGACTCAGATTTTTTTCTTTGTCCCATGGCTCGTGACATGTTGATCACATCATTCATTTCTTCACCGAGCTTAAAATGGACCACCTTTCTTTATATATGACACCTCGTTAATATGGACACTTTCTATGCCTCCCCCCCCCCCCCCCCGCCCCGTATTAACCGGGTTCGATGTTACCTGTAAAATCTTCCAAAAAAATACACTCACCAAACTTTTTTTTTTGAAGACATTGTATATTTTCTCCATGTTCAAAAAAATGCAGTATACATACAACATTTATTGTGTGACTTAC